CAGGTATTCACGACTACCTGTCTGGGGCTGTACCTAGCGATATATCAGCATTATCACTCCTTCCGATACCCTGAACTCTGCAGCCGCTCTCCGTACAGGTTATTGACGTTACCGCGCAGTACATACATGTACGAGTAGAGGCAGTAAGCTACACGAGTCCCCATCCTATAAAGTTATTAGTCTCTCCGTAATACCGAGAATCCTGCCAAGATGGCAGGCAGGCGCCGACGGAAGGCCGACCGAGAGACGATAAGCATTGATTAAAATACGGGCCGACAGCACCCCGGGAGAGATGATATCGTTTCCCTACATACCTATGATGAGGTCCATCCTTTGGCCATACGCTGTACGCGTAGAATACGACGAGTAGTCGTACGACCTAGAAATAACAATGCATAGATAAAGAAAAAGAGTAACGCCGAAATGGCGTCCCCTCGAGAATCCAGGAGGCTTAGCTTGGCATGAGCTCCTGTCTCTCTCTCTCTCTCTCTCTCTCTTTCATTTTATTGTTTCCTTTAAAAAAATTCTAATTCTTCTAATTCTTCTGATTTTTAACTTTTAATTATTATTTTTTTAATCTTCTGCTTCTCGGTCCAATGTGATCCATTCCCAGGGAAGGCGGAGGAGGGGGGTGTGTGATAACTCTACCAGTCCGTCAATGCCAGTAACAAACAGGTAAGCCAAGACAAGCAGGCCAACACATGTAGCCAAGACAGGGGCAAGAGAAGGTAGAAGGAAGAAAAGGGCAGCGAAGAAAGCTTGGCCTTCTCTGCCTCTCTCTTTCTCGGTCCTTTTCCCCTGACGGATGCAGCTCTATTCTGGTCTGTCACTGGTAGTACGTGCATGATACACGCTGTGCGCTCGCTGTCATGAGTATTACTACAAGCAACTGTATTATTACTGGATATATGCACTTATCAGGATTACATTACAGTGCAGGTTACCACGGACACCTGGTCAGTAGCAAGAGTATCGAGGTTAATATTAGCAGCCCCCAAACAGATCACGCCAATCATGTCCGGGGGAGGCGTTTAATATATCGGTTGAGAGTTTCTATTACTAGTGCTAATCATTCTCGACGACTTTTATTTTCAATCCACAGACGCAGAGTCCGGTTATATCTAAGCTGTAAGCTCTCCAGCGATGAATGAGTGCACGTTTTGAGTCGACCGTTGACGGAGGGAGTAGTCACGAGCAGACTTGATATCTGCATATGCACGTATACACCGTATAAGAAAATATATTCTTATATATATTATCATCTATATCATGTGCACATGCTCCTTCATATATGCACAAAACCATACTAGTCGCTCCCTCGCAGCCGCTCCGTCGAGCCTCCCGTCTGTTGCACCATGACCACCTTCACGCTGTAGCCATGGAGCCTTGCTACGAGGATGAGGACTTGCTACTCATACCACTATCCGTACGAGTATACGCCATTATCGTCACTGAGTGACAGTCGCCGCTGTTCCTAATCTCACCCAGGTCTCCCTTGTATTTCATCCTCACCAGCCTTCCCTGTCTCTTCTTTCCCTCTCATGCCCTCTATTATTGGGAGAGAGAAAATGAAGAGAGAAAGAAGAGGGAGGAAATATTACTCCACCATTAACACAAACCCCCTCCCCCTCTTATTATTATACCCCCCGTAATACTCCATTGACCGTTTCGTCTTCCCTAGCATCCCCTCCCCTCCTCCCCTCCAAAAAGGAAAAGGTTTCCTCTAGAGTCAAATTAGAACCGCACACACGCACATACATACACATACATACACATACACACACATACACACACAAAACCACGCATAGCACCCCTTACATACACACATTAACGGCACACATGGATCCGTCATCGGTCCCTCCTCGGTCAGAGTCCGCCGAGACAGCCGATGCGGACAAGACCCCAGCTCCTGCTGCTCCTGCTGCTCCTGCTGCTGCTGCTGCTGCTGCCGCTGCCGGTGGTGCGCCCGTCTCCAGCTCTGGTGCGTCTGCATCCGCCCTCGTCGCCGACCTGGTCACCGACGGAACTGCAGCCCCGGCTGCCATGGACACGAGGCATATGGCTCGCTTTGAGTTTAGCGACGTCGGAACCAAGATACTCATGGTTGAGTGGTTACCTGAAAGTGCGGACCCGACTGCTACTACTACCACCGCCCAAGACGCCACCGCAACCACCACCACTGCCGTTCCCCCTTCTACCACTGCCACTTGTACTTCTGTCAGTGGTGGTGGTCAAGGAGACACTGCCGGCTCCGGCTCGTCGGCACCGGCACCGGCACCGGCATCGGTTAACAGTGGTGCGTGGGAGGTATCGTGGCCCGGTAAGTCCGTCACGCTCCCTGCCCGCGACACCACCGACGACGACGACAAGGCCCACACCACCAACCGTCGCCGCGTCTTCTTCCTCCTCCCGCAGGACGCTCCCGTCCCTGCCACCGTCATCATCACCCCGCCGAACGGGGACGGCCCGGCCATCCGCGTGAAACCCCTGCCGGCCATCTTCCCAGAGGGCTTCGGCGCCCGCGGCACCGCCAGGGGCTCGCGCGGCGTCCTGCACACCATATGGGCCAAGAAGCGGCTGCGCGAGCTCGAGAGGGAGATCGACGCCGAGGTCCGCGCCAATACCGAGAGTGTAGCCGTCGAGATGGCCCTGGCCGAGAAGCAGTGGATCGTCGACACCTTCCTCAGCCCCCCTACTCCTCCTGCCCCCGCACCGGGGCCTCTCAAGATCAGTACCAACACTGCCGGTGCCGGTGTTGGTGCCGGCGGTGGCGGTGGTGACGCTCCTCCTACGCCTAGGTCTCCCGTGTCCAGTGGTCGTCTCGGCGATAAGCTCAAGGGTCTGCGTCTGGCTACGTCTCCGGCCGATCTGGCCTCCTCGCCAGGTATGTTCTGTCTCGACCTCTGCTTTCTCGCCCTGAGTGGTGGTAGTTGATGGATGGAAAGGAAAGGAGAAGATGGATAACGGAGGGGAACAAGGACTGACACGCTGCTTCTTCTTCTTCTAGCCAACACCTTCACCACTGCTGGCAGCCAGTCTGATACCCTGTCCCCCATGGGTGACGACATTGCCATGCCATCCACACGCGCCGCCATGGCACGACCAGTCGGAGCTCCCATGTCCCTGGACGCCGCCCTCCAGGGAGGAGTCCCTGCTGCGGGGCCAACACCCGCCGACGACGAGGAGAGCGACCTGTTTGCCCTGCCGATAAGTCCGCGCAGCCCAGACATGAAGAAGAGCCCGTTCAGCATCTTTTAAGGATGACGCCCCTACGTTCAAAAGCACGGGGGAAAACCCCCTACACATGTATATACTTGGGGTTGGGAGTGGGAAAGGGTAATTTTTCTACACCAGTACATATTCTATGTGACATGAAGACATGAGGCAGGCAATCTTTGGTTTTTTTTTGTTTTTGTTTATTTGCCATGTCTACTAGTATTTTTTTTTTCTTTTCGTCGTTTTGTTTCTTGCATAGCGCTGCCCGGGTGATAGCGAAATCCCCTAAAGAAAAGGAGAGAAGCTGGCTGACGTTGTTCGTTCATCATTAATATAAACATACACACACACACGCACACACACACACATATATATATATCGCAAACCCTTTGACATATGTGACCTTGGGGGAAAGAATTCCCATCATCTCCAACCCCCCACCCGTCCCTCATCCCACCTCTCTTTCCTCTCCTGGCGCAGGTAATACACGACCCTAGCCTCCCTATACCTCCTGACCCAATCGGCCGTCTCCCTCTCGGTGGCGGTGGAGGCGGCGTCGTCGGCGCCGACGTCGAGGAAGCTCTCCTCCATGGCCTGGCAGACGGCCTCCTGCTCCTGCACGCCCTGCGCGAGCCTCTGGTACAGGCTGGCCGGGCCGAGCGGGGCCAGCGCGTCGTCCATGTCCGACTGCCTCTGACGCCACTGCCTCTCGAGCGCGTGCGTGCTGAGTAGCTGGGCCTGCGTGGCGGCACGCTGCGCCGCCAGCCGCGACTCCATGCCCGCCGTGTGCGCCGCCAGGTCTATGTTGTCCTCCAGGGCGGACCGGAGCAACGACTGAGACTCCAGGAGTGAAGGGTGCGCCGTCCGGGACGAGTGCGTCAGCGCCTGGAGCACCTTTGCGTCTGCTAACATGGCGGCAATGTCTTGTTTTCTGCTTGTTTTGGTTTTGTCAACATCATGTTTCTTGTGCAAATTAAAAATCAGGCGGGAAAAAAAATAAGCACATGACAACAACAACAACAACAACAACAACAGAGAAGAAGGAGAAGAAGAAGAGGAAAGGAAAAAATAAAAACGAAATAAAATAAAAACATACGACTTATCCTTTATAAATTCTGGGAGCCACTCGTCTCCTGGGTCGGGAATGCTGCTGGATGTCCTGGACATGTGAGGTGCTCCACCAACACCAACACCACCTGCTTCGGGACCGACAGACGGCTTGGTACGTGTGGGCGTGTTGATACCACTCGACTCGTGGCTGCCCGGCTTTGGGGGAGGGGCGGGCGGCGTCGATGCCGATATCCCGTGTAGTTCGGGGGTGAAGGTCGCCATGGTGGGTTTGTTGCTTTGTTTCGAGAGATGATGATGTGTAAAGTTGAGATTGAGGGGGTCGATGTCTCAAGGTAACGAGCTATTACTTACTACCGAAACAGCATTTCATGAACCTCACCTCACATCTATATGAAACTACCCAAACGCACAGCATCTTCATTCACTTCCGTACACATGCCACTGCTCTAGAACAAAACGGAAAAAAGTGAAGAACAAAAAAAACTCCAGTGAACGCTTTGATATGCTGCTACTGCATTATACTGATTCATTCCTTTCGTGACGTGACGAATATTGCGTAGTACAGGGTAAGTAAGCAGAGATGATAGACTACTGTGATGACAGAAGTAGTAAAACGAGATGATTGTAGAAACAAAAGGTATGACAAAAAAACTCCGATTCTCCCCCCCTTCCCTTCCCTAAAGATCTCTCGTTTCATGTTCGCGCGTTCTTGACTACGACTTTACAGACCATAAATCTCTCGACCACCCCATCTCCCGGAGCTTCTTGTTCACCGTCCCCGCCGCCCTCTTCTCGCTCGTGGTTATGGCCAGAGCCTTGCTGCTGGCGGCAAAGGCCCCCAGCAGCTCCTTGACCCTTCTTGACTCGACAAAGGCGCCCTCTAGGTCCGATCCGCGCTCCGTCACCAGCGACGCCAGATTCATGCACTCCAGGAGCCAGTCGCGCGACAGGCCCGTGCCCGCGAACTGCAGGGCGCTGACGTACGCCAGAACCGTCTCGGGGAGGTACGCCCGCCGTAGCTCGCCGAGTTCCTCGTCGCCGCCTTGGATGCCGGGGAGGAGCCAATTCTTGAGGAGCGGCTCCATAGTGTCCTTGGTGACCTTGATGGCATCGCCAATCTGGTTCCAGAAATCGCGCTGCCCAGTAGGTGCCCTGTTTCCTTATTGTCAGCATTCTTTTTGCTCTCTTTTGATCCCCCCCTCTACATATCGTACGACACGGTGGAAGAGGGAACTTATTGAGGGTTGAAACATACTCCTTGGACACATCGGCAAACGCTCCCATGGTCTCCAGACTGTCCAGGGCCTTGACAAGTGCCTCCAGCTCCCGGAAGTTGCGCGCGTTGGCAAGCACATTCTCGGGCGTCGTGTCCTGAATGTTGTTTCGCTCCAGCTGATCGGCCCAGAAGGCCGCGTTATCGTACCACGCCTCGTCAAAGTCATCCTCGACGCCGAGCTCCTGCATGACGGCCGCAAACGAAACGCTCTTGGCCAGTTTCCGTGCCGCGTTGAGGTGCATGTGTCCTGTGCAGTGTATTGATTAGCCAACAGAGAAATCCCGCAGAGAGTTCCAAGAGAACTTACGGAGGAAGAACTTGTACACCTGCGTGCCGATGGAAAAGACGTTGGGCCACGTCTCAGTCACCATGAGTAGCCACTCAAGCGACCAGATGAGGTGCTGGTGTGCCGGCTCGATGGCGTCCGGGTCGTCGCCGAAGAAATCGGGCTGGATGGACCGCCCCAGGCGAGCGGTGGGCGCGCCAGCGTCGAGGATCTTGAAGCTGGTCTTGGCCTCGAACGTGGCCGTCGTGCCCGCAGCCACCTGCTCGTATAGCAGGGTGGCCTGCGTCTTGACGAACTGCATCACGTCGATGTTCGCGCGCTTCATGAGGTTGAGCAGCTCGATCCGGCGCTGGCTGTCCTCCTCGAGAATCAGGTTGGCGCTGAGCACCTCGTAGCGGCGCGGGGGCTCGAGGATGGAACAGTACACCGGGATTAGCTCCTCCAGCCTCGCGCGGCGGAGGAAGCCGGCGTACTGCGCCAGGATGTTCTCCTGGGCCGCCCGGCGCCCGGGGCGCTTGAGGTGCTCGGCGAAGCTTACATTGTCCTCATCGAGGCGGCCTAGCAGCGTCACCAGCACGTACAGATGGGTGACGATGCGGAGGCCGTCATTGTCGCCCAGGGCAAAGTACTTTTGCTCCTTGGGGGTCTCCAGCACCGACGAGATTTCCGACGAGGAGGCGAGTGCCCTGCCTTGGTTGTAGAGGTACTCGTCGATATCCCGGGAAATAATGGACGCCTGCAGGGCCTTGTTCGCCTCAGACGCCTCGTCCTTAATATCGGCCCGGGACTCCAGGGATCGGATGAGCCGCTTCTCCACCCCGGCCTCTTCGCCGTGGAACTGCACAGCGTCGAATGACGGGAAGGTCTGCGTCAGGCTGGACGCCTCGCCGGGCGGGCAGCGGCCCAGGATGAAGGTGTCGAGCTGTGTCCGTAGGAGAGCATTGTAGTGGACAAAGAGGAAATCGTCCCATGTGCGGGCCACCTTCTCAACACTGGTAATGTCACCGGACAGGACACCGTAGACTGCGCGCTCGTAGTCGTTGGAGCCGCCCTGCTTGGCGAGACTGAAGCACATTCGGCGCCAGAGCGCAAGCGATGCAGGTTCCACGCCCTCGGCGACATTGTCCTCGGCGTCATCGGCTGACATGAGCATACCCGACACGGATACGGCCTTCCACATCTCGGTCCTGTCCTGGCACCAGTCGCGTATCGTTTGGAGGCTGCTCCCGCGTCGCAGGTGCTCGTAACAGCCCAGGCATATGGCGCTCTCAAAGTACTCATCCTGGGGCTGGAGCTTGCGACCTTGGCGCGTGCTGGCATCCGGGTCTAGCTGCGTGACCAGTGGCTCCCCATTGGCGGTGACGTGCGTGGCCGAGATGTTGGTCGACTGGCGGTCGAGCAGGTGCGGCCAACCCGTGACGCTCTTCTTCATCTTGACTGACGAGCGGGTGTGGAGCCACCCGTCAGCGATGATGTCGCCCCGGTCGGCGTTTCGCTGCAGGTCGCGCGTCAGGTCGTCGATGTCGGGGCCGGACGAGGCGTTGGTCTGTAGCCACTGCAGTACTGCCAGGCGCTCCTTGGCGATTGAGTTGGTCAGGAAGAAGCTGCGAAGGCTGCTGTTGTCGTCGGCGACCACTGCCGGCGGCTCGTCAACCATTCGCGAGAACGAGAGCTGGGATGTGGAGGGGGCGGCGGCGGCGTCCTCCGGGCCCGGATAACGGAGCGGGAGTACCCTGCGTAGGAGATCCCACGTCTGTGCCTCCTTCTCCAGCTGCTTCAGCTTCTCGGAATCGCCGGGGGACAAGGGCCCGGTGGCGCTCGCGTCGTCCGTGTCCATGTCGGCATCGTCGTAGCTGCTCCTGCCCTCGGCGGGCTTCGACCGCATAAGGCGTCGTATTGCGTTCTCGTGGTATCTGCTAGATAGGTGGAGGAGCCTCTCACGCCTGTCACCGTCCGAAAGCCGGGGGGAAAGACAATCGTCGAGGGCGTTGGCAAACTGCTCGATCTCGGGGCCTGCATCCACAACGGCAGGGAGCTCTGGCAGAAACTGCTGCTGCGACACGGCGTCGTCGACCTCCATTGTGCAATTCTAACTGGCGTAATATCGAGGGGAATAAGGAAGGAAAGCCCCTCCGTGAAGAGAGGGGAAAAAAAGGCGGAAAAGCCCTCTCCCTCTCGTCCCTATGCTTCTCTCAGCGCAGTCAGCCTGGCACTCGCTCAAGGTGAGCAAGCCCAATCACGGCAGCTTAGGGACAAAGCGCAAGGACTTTTATAGGCTGTTGCGGTCGCCAGGCGACATTCCCTGGAACAAGGGAGAATGGTCGTAATCCGTAATTTGATCGATTCGGGGTCGTCGGTTGGGGAAGGGGTTCGAACGAGATCTCGATTTCTCCCTTTTTTTGGGGGTTGGTTGGTTGTATGAATACTGAGAGGGACGGTGATATTATCTTTCTGGTTTGTTTAGATCTTTCTTTCCAGCCTGCAGAAGCTCCAAAATTATTCTGGTAACGCGCTTCCAGGTACAGGAAGTACGGGTTTGATCAATATTCTAGATAATTGCATAAATATCACTTTAAACGAAACTTACGGTCAACCAGTTGGGTGAGGCTTTCTTGAATAAATGCCCCCCCCCCACTGTTTGATTTTTCCCCCTTTTCTCCCTTCTTCATCATAAATGTCATCGGCATTCATATTAGAGTCTCGGAACAGGACTTTTTCAATTCTTGTTCAGGTCCCACGAGGACCTCTTGCGTGCTCAATGATCGCCTAGATAAAATACCAGACGCTCTTCAAAAAAGTTGCCAGATTTCTTCTATACCGGCGGACACATTAGCGACGAGCGCCACATATTCCTCTCTATCTGACAGAACAGCATTCCACTTTTGTATCTGGGCCCTCACGAGGGTTGGTCACGTCCATCTACATCTGATGGATGGGAGAGAGATCTATTCTCTCTTACCTCGTGACTCATTTGTCGGCCGCGGCCTCCCTGAGCTGCTTGAGTTTGAGCTGCAGCAGCTTGGGCTTAGGACAGCACACAGAGGATGCGTCTTCACCGTGGCGCTCGTAGAAAGCTCCGCAACATTCGTACAGTGCCTTGATGGTCGTTTGGCACTTGCCCTCGTCGTAATTGTTCTTTGCCAGGCAGTCTGCACTCTGGACGTCAGTACTCTCTCTTCCAGCTGCCGGTTTGAAGACGGACTGACCTTGAATTGCACACTGCAGGAACGCGAACATCATGTCAGCCCTTTTGCGTTGTTCTTTGGTCACAGGGGAAGGTAGGAAGACGTTACTGCTCGTGAGATGCAAGGAGGTCGATTATTCGTATCGTCTTTGGGGTCCTGTTGACGCGCGTGCTGTCAGCATATCCTTCTCTGTTCTTTTGGCTAATCGAGTCTCGGAGTTCTATACCATTTTTGAGGGTGAATCAGGCAGTGAAAGAAGTATTCAAGCGGCAGATATATTCACTCTTGAGAGAGGGAGAAAGAGTGGGATTGAAGGAGAGAAGAATAAGAGGGCGAGACAGTAAAGTCTTGATGTCATGTCGGCGATGCTTGATCGACCCTGTGCCAATCTGCCCAGGTTGCCACATCCTTTGACGTCAAATACACACAGTACAAATTCCCCGTTCTAATCACCGCACCACCATCATCATAGCCAATCAACCAGTGTCGCTCCCCACCTCTGACCTTCTTCTCCCGACTTGCCTCATCGTGAACTTTGCCAAACCCTCCCCCCCCAAAAAAAAGCTACAGCAAACTCTCACGTTGCTCTCAGCCCGGAGACTTGTCAGCTCAAATCCGACCGTCAAACGCCTCCGCTTTTGTCTCATTCACGGAACACGGCAACAACCGTCATCCTTCTATCCTTCCATCACCATAGGTTCGTTCCAGCCCTACCCCTCCCCCTTCATCAGTTATTTAAACACAGTTCACGGTTGCGCGCGCCCTGTCCTATCCCAACGCAACCCAGCCCTCACTCGAAACCGAGACGAAGTCCATTCATACTATCCTAACACGAGAAACAAAATGCGTTCTGCAGAAAACATGTCCGAGAACGGTAGCGCTCCCCCCCCCGAGGCACCCGTCAATACCGAGCACCTCAACATTAAGGTGTCTGATAACAACAACGAGGTTTTTTTCAAGATCAAGCGCTCCACAAAGCTAGAGAAGCTCATGACGGCCTTTTGCGAGCGCCAGGGAAAGTCTCCCAGCTCGGTCCGCTTCCTCTTTGAGGGTACCCGCGTCCAGCCTACCGATACGCCCGAAGCCGTTCGTTCTCCCCCCTACCCGCCCTTCCTTCCACTGATCTACCTCCCATGTGACGATATACTACAGTGTATCTATCTGTGCGCATATAGATGTGCATAAATATACAGAGGAAGCGTGTGGAACAAAGTGCTGACTTTCTTCTAGCTCGAGATGCAGGACGGGGACCAGCTCGACGTCCACCAGGAGCAGGTCGGCGGCGGTGCCAGGTCGTCTTTCTAAAAAGAGGGAAAGGATGGGACAATTACGGGGATCTCTTTTTCTTTCTTTATCTTTTCATTATCAAAAAGGTGGGAGTTTATGGCCTCTTTAAGAAAAAAAATCTAAAATACACAACGCAAATTCACAAGGAGACGAACCTGCATCACTCCCCCCCACTAGAGATGAATGACGGATCGAGAGTCGCGTTTCTTTGTGGTCGGTCAGGATTATTCGGCTAAGATTATGCGCGTCGTATTGGGTTTCTCTTCTCGTTTTTTTTTTATTAATTTTTTTTATTAATTTTAGTTCTGGTCTTTACATCATATCCTTTTTTATTCATTCAAAACACCCCGTACGAGAGGATCGACAGAGGATGTGAAAATGAATAGCAATGATTCACGATATCGTCTTGGGACTCGTCCTACAGCACACATTCATGTCGTCGAGTAGAGAGACACATTCAGAGTCGAACAGAAACAGACGGAGTGCCATATACTTGAGTATTAAAAATGTGCGTTCTGACATATGCCTGTCGCACGTCGAACCACACAAGACGAAAGCAAAACCCATGCAAAACCATTTGATGCCAGAAACAAGTGAACCACACAGACGATGAACAAATACACAACGTGCCAAGTAAATCAAGGTTGAAAATCAGTAAGCAAGAAGGCATAATAGATGGCAAAAAGGTAGAAAAAAAGCAAGAGGCGAAAAGGCACGAGGCGAAAAGGCAAGAGGTGAAGAACGAAAAGCGAAAACCCGTAACGGGAAAAAAAATCACACAAATGCAGAGGGGCAAAAGAAGAAGAAAAAAGGAAGAAAAAACAAACTCCAGGAACGGAAATGCATCGCTCGTCATCTTCGTCGTTTCATCGTTTCAGCTCCCGTGTACGGCAAGAGGTACACATAATCACCATCTTGCCACCGGGGAGCTCTTTGGGAAAGATCTGACCGTCGTCAAAGCTACCGTGGCACTCGGCGCAGCGGAAGCAATGCTCGTGCCATTCACCCCCTAGTGCCCGGATGTACTCGCCGACCACAGCCGTGCGGCACATCTTGCACTTGGGGGCGCGCCTCTCGGTGCGCTTTGTTTGACAGTTTATGCACCAGGCGTAACCATCTTTCTCAATGTGCGTCATTCCCTGCTCAAAGGGGTCGCCGCACTCGGCGCAAAAGAAGTGGCCGTAGTGGAAGTGTTGGCCAAGGGCTACAATGTGCTCGCCCAGAATGGGCGTCTTACAGTGCTTGCAGCGCGGCGCAAACAGCTCGTGCCAGTCGAGATGGCAGTAGAAGCGAAGACGGTCATCGCCGTCCTCGGCCATGGTCATGCCCGGCGTCTCGTCCAGGATTTCACCTGCCTCGCGGCGGCGGATCCGGTCAAGACGCTCACCGCGCACCTGGGTGGGCTCAGGGCTAATCTCCATGGCCTCAAGGCTGGTGCCGCAGGTACAGCATCTCAGACATTGGGGGTGGAAGCGTTCCGGGCCGCCGGCAAGCTTGACAAACCGTCCGTCGATGGGATAGCCACACTCATGGCACATGGCAAGCCCCTTACCGGCGGCGCCAGAGGCCCGTGACCAGTGGCCTTGTGGCGGCAGCTGTGCTCGCTGCGGCCGCTGTGCAGGGAGCGGTCGCTGGGATGTTGCTTGACTACCAGACTGCGAGTTCTTGGCTGGTTCTTCACCCGGGAGGCAGATGGAGGGAATGTTGTTGCTGCTGTCATTGTTATCGCGGCTGCCAACATCACCGGACGATTCATCAACGGCAATGGTGGGGACGTTGATGGTTGGCAGGGGCCGCGTCGAGGGAGCCTCGGGGGCAGCCACATTTATTGACGGTATATCCGCACATGTCGACGAACGTGGCCGCGGTGCAGGGTCCGCCTCCACAGAGACTGAAGGGATGCCCACAGGCTGGGGCTGCGGCCTGGAGTGGAACTGTCTGCGTGACGGCGACGACGTTGCTGGTCCTTTTTCTGGGCTCGAATCAGTGGGTTCGTCCGGGGCTCTCCAGTTAGCATTGAAGCTTACAATAGGCCGTCCGGGACTGTCGCTGACGGCGGTGGGCTCAGGGAGCCTGGGGCTGCGGTCTTTCAACCTCATGCTGGTGGCCTCGCGAATATCCTGGCTGCGGATCTCGACGCCATTCTTCCTCTCCACCTTGTCATTAACCGGGGACGGCGTCGACGATAGGGTAGAATTTCTCTGGTATTGGGCATCCCGTGACCGCGTGGGCGGGTTGCGATGAATCTCGACGCGATCATGGTGAGGCTTGACAGAATCCGGCTCCTCGGTAGAGCCCTGGAAGCGGACACGGTTGAGGGGGTTTTGAGGCTTGTTGCTAAGCTTGTCTGGAGATGCCCGACCGGACTCGGTGGCGCCGGTGGTAGACGCAGACTCGGGCTCTTCCCATATCTGGACGCCTGAGAAAGGCCTGTTCACTTCGCCACTGATGTTTCGCCTCATGCTGCTGCGGCGACCAGAGTTGGAAGCCGGCTCAGCACGAGAGCCAACGCTTCCGTAGGTTCGAGACTTCGAGCCTATCGAATCTATCGACGTACGGCCCCTTTTCAAGCCCTCACCGCCCTCGGAGGAGCTCCCAGACACGGAGCGAGACGAGGAATCCCTAGCCAGACCACTTGTAGCAATGTCTTCACCATACCGACCGGCACTAGCGGCGCGAGCATGGGCGTAGCTGTTCTTGCGAAGGTGTGGACGGTAGCGGTAGGGACCGTCAGGAGGACGGACCTGGCCGGGGTTCTGGTGCTGCCAGACAAGTTCAGCAGCCTCGTTGAGAGCAGCATCATGTATGCGGGCTTCCTCGTCATCCAAGGGTTGGGACTCCTTGTGAGATTTTTTGGGAGAGTCTTTGGAGGAGGTCTGGGAGGCTTCGCGCAAGTCCATCTCCTCCATAGCGTCACGGAGGGAAAAAGCTTCCTCCTTCTCCATCCAGCGCTGGCCGCGCTCCATGTAGACGCCCGTGGGGACCACGTCGTCAGGCTTGGGAGGCTGAGCGGCAGGCTTGGTCGGATAGTAGTCACGGCCACGCATGCTGGAGAGCGAGTAGCGGGAAGAGACGCTCGGGGCGTTGGAGGGAGACGGAAAGTTTGGAGAGATGGCGCCGCTGACGTGACTTTCTGCTTGTGAAGAGGCGTCGAGGCTAGGTCGGCTCATGCTGGAGCGAGCTGGAGGCGGCGGGCGAGCTCCGGCAGGCTGAGGGCGTGCACCGCCTGGCCGTGCCATCCGGTTGGACCGTAGTTCTGAGAGGTAGTTGGCTGTATACGGGGTGGAGGGCGGTCAGAGAAAGCTCGAGACAGTTGCAAGTTCAGGGGAAGACATGACGTACCAAACTGATCATTGGACATGTAAGAAGCTGCCGGCGGCGTCACCTTACGCGACTTGGTGTCGCCGTGCTTGCCCATGGGCCTCATGGTGGTGCGAGAGACGAAATCACGAGAGAATCGGGTGCTGCAGTGGTAGTAGCGAGGGCGAGGAAGTCGGTGATGGTGGGGAAAACGTGTATGGAGTGATGATGGTCAGAGATGCAATGATGATTGTCGATGGTCCGTGGTAATAGTGACAGTTATATTGGCTGTTAGTTGGTATGTGCAGTGAACGTGCATCTGAACGTCGCCTTGTTTTGGCCGATGTTCATATCGGGGACAGTCAGTGGCCCCTTGTGGCCTTGGAAAGGTGCGGGTTGGTTGACCTGGCAACCACCGCTCCTTCCGCCGCCAACTTGAGGGCTGGACCAGACTAGCAGGGAAACTAGCGGTCCGTTGCTCTTGACGTTCTTTGTTTGCTTCAACCACAAAGACACAAACACAACACGTTCCGTCCGGACAAAAGGAAAGTGACGAGGTAGGGTGATGCCAGCTGGTGATGGGGCGCGGAATGGAGGGAGCAGGCAAGCAGGCAGGTGGGCAAGCAACAGTGTCAAGGGAGAAAGAGAAAGGCGTGAGGGGGTCCTCGTGTGTTTTATTGTATTACTGTACAGAGCTGTGACAAGAGTACAGCGTACAGTGCAGCTCATGCAGCTACTGAGTGAATGCATCGGAGCCTGAGACAGATTGCCGACCTAGTCTTTTTTAGCCCGCGGGTCTGTCTTCCCACAGCTGTCTGTCGTGTTGGACTCTCATTTGCCCACGATTGTTTTAATGATACATGATTCTTTGCTGCTTCACCACGTAGTGTATACCAGCTTTTAATACTAGATTGCAGCCTAGCAGCGTGCGTGCGTTGTAGCACTCTACCAGTGCAGTTCACCCTTGACGCCCTTTTCGGGTTCCGGTTTCTTTTCTGGCTCGGCGAAGCCGAGGTTCTTGAACTCGTCCTTGGCCATGAGGTTGCTGCAATAGTCGAGTGAGTCAGCAGAGGGCAAGAATACAGAGAAACAGAGGGTGAGCATCTCTTACCGATCCATTCGGCAAGTCAGGTAATCCTTTGCCATATGGCGGCACTCTTCCTCATTGACCCCGCGGACCCTCTTCATGCATGACAGATAGTTCTGCATGGCCTTCTTGCATTCGCCTACCGTGAATGAATACATTAGCCTGCATGTGGATGGTGATGGGACAACGAGGGCATGAACTAACCGTCATGGTCCAACGGGAAGCTTCCTCGCTGGGGCCTACATCTGACATCAGCTCCTCTTTCATGTCTGCATGGAGGGGCCGTAGGATAAAGAGAGATGAGCATACGGGGTAGGCCTAGTCGTAGGCAATGTTCCGGGGCTGCCAAATGTGCTCATGATGTCTGTCGGTTGAGTACTCGTATCAAGTTCATGGTGGCGACTGGGGAATATCTTGGGGCAGTTGTATGTGAGTCGACTGGTTAGGTGCATATGTACTTAATGGTGGAAGTTGCTAGAAGAATATGAAGGTACAGAGTACTATATGCTGTTAACAGCACTTGTGCTGATATTTTGTACTGCTGGGGGGCTATAGTGGGGCGGGCTCCAGCTGTCCAGTGACCTACCCCCTAACCTGTCTGCGCTGGACGGGCTCTCCAGCGCTCTCTCCCCCTCCGGAGCAATGCCTACGTGTACTTGTACACGTATGTACGGAGTACTGGGATCCTAATCCCTCCGCCATCAGTGGACCATCTAGCACCAAGTATTAAATATTGTCACTGCTACTGCTCTGTACTCGTACTGCCTCTGCACGTGAACCGCGCAACATCCTTGCCCGTACTCCGTATCCCGTACTGGAACCTACAACATATCGGCTCCATCTTCTCGAAGCACCTGGCGTCCGGACCCTGTCTGCTTGCATGAAACGCTCGTTCCTCCCGCCCTTGGAGACGCACTGCGCATCCTCAACGCTTTGATTGCGCGGTTCCCTCCTCGACTCTGTCCCTTCTTCTGTCCTTCTCTCCCCGTTTGCCGACAATCGACTGCGTCACCATGGCAGCCCTTGGCGAGGACCTTCTCAGCACCGTCAACAAGCTGCAAGACTTGACCTTCAACACCATCGGCAATGACTCTCTAGACCTGCCGCAGATTGTATGTCTACTCGCATGGCTCATATTCCGTTGGAACCTTTAATTCCAACCCCTATACCCCCTTGCCCGCGCATACGCTGACGCTGCTTCTTCCCTCCCTTGCAGGTTGTCGTCGGTTCTCAGTCGGCTGGAAAGTCGTCGGTCCTTGAAAATATCGTCGGTCGAGATTTTCTCCCTCGGGGTGCTGGCATCTGCACCCGTCGACCTCTGATTCTGCAGCTCATCAACGTTACCGACGACGAATCTGCATCTGACCCCGTCAACGACCCATACCGCTCAGCCAGCTCTGCTCGCCGCTCAGAGTGGGCCGAGTTTACCCACATCCCCAACAGAAGATTCACAGACTTTTCCGACGTCAAGCGCGAGATCGAGAATGAGACATCCAGGGTCGCCGGTAACAACAAGGGAATCAACCGTCAGCCCATCAACCTCAAGATCTACTCTCCGCACGTGCTCAACCTGACCCTCGTGGATCTGCCCGGTTTGACCAAGGTATGTGGGCGTCATCACCACCAGCTAACCTTAAATTTTTCCGTACCCAACTCTGACGAATTATAATCACTCTACAGGTCCCTATCGGAGACCAGCCCTCCGATATCGAGAAGCAGACGCGCAACCTGATCTCCGAGTACATTGCCAAGCCCAACAGCATCGTCCTTGCCGTCTCCCCCGCCAATGTCGACCTCGTCAACTCGGAAGCCCTTAAGCTCGCCCGCCATGTCGACCCTCTCGGCCGACGCACCATCGGCGTGCTTACCAAGGTTGACCTCATGGACCACGGCACCAATGCCCTCGACATCCTTTCCGGCCGTGTCTACCCGCTGAAGCTGGGCTTTATCGGTGTCGTCAACCGCTCGCAGTCCGATATCCAGTCCAGCAAGCCCATGGAGGATGCCCTCCAGGCCGAGATGGACTTTTTCAAGCACCACCCCGCCTACCGCAACATCGCCTCCCGTTGCGGCACGCGTTTCCTGGCCAAGACACTCAACACGACGCTGATGAGCCACATCCGGGAGCGACTGCCCGACATCAAGGCGAGGCTCAACACCCTCATGGGCCAGACCCAGCAGGAGCTTGCCAGCTACGGCGACATGCAGTTCAGTGGCAAGGAGCACAGGGGTTCTCTTATTCTTCAGCAGATGACGCGGTTCGCCTCGTCCTTTATCTCATCCATCGACGGTACCTCGTCCGAAATCTCTACCAAGGAGCTCAGTGGCGGTGCCCGGATCTACTACATCTTCAATTCGGTCTTTGGCAACTCGCTCGAGTCCATCGACCCCACCTCCAACCTCACAGCTCTAGACATCAGGACGGCCATCCGCAACTCGACGGGACCCAGGCCCAGCCTGTTTGTGCCCGAGATGGCCTTTGACCTGTTGGTCAAGCCTCAGATCAAGCTTCTCGAGATCCCCAGTCACCGTTGCGTGGAGCTCGTATACGAGGAGCTCATCAAGATCTGCCACACCTGCGGCTCCACCGAGCTCTCTCGGTTCCCCAGGATGCAGGCCAAGCTCATCGAGACGGTATCGGACCTCCTGCGCGAAAGGCTCGGGCCGACATCCAACTACGTCGAGTCGCTCATCTCGATCCAGCGCGCCTACATCAACACCAACCACCCCAACTTCCTCGGGGCCGCGGCTGCCATGAGCAATGTGGTCAGCGCCAAGCAGGAGCGGGAACGCAAGCGCCTGATCCAGGAAGAGCGCGAGCGCAGGGAGCAGCGACGTCTCAAGGAGGCGGGCCCCGAGGGGGAGGCCGAGGGCGAGGAGGGAGCGGCCAACACGGAGAAGGCCGGCAAGGCGTCGTCAAAGCAGGTGTCCAAGGTGGCCAGGAGCATGTCGCCTTCTGTGCGGGACAACGGGCACGGCAGCATGAAATCGGCCATGAATGGCGTCAACCGCGGCATCTCGCCGGGCCAACTGCACGGGCAGGGGCTGAACAATGCTAGAGACTCGTTCCTCAACTACTTCTTCGGCAAGGACGGCATCTCGAGCTACGGCAACGCCCCGCCACCCAGCGGCGCCGGGGTCGGCAGCGGCCTCAACAGCAGCAGGCAACAGCAGATTGGGCAGTCGGACTCGGTCTTCCCGCCCAGCATACGCAGGGATGAGCAGCTTCCCACCAGGTCACCCAGTACACTGTACGATGAGGATTACGATAAGAAGGGACTCGCCGCGCACTTTGTAAGGGTTTCCCTGTTTTTTTCTTTTTTTTCTTCTTTCCTCTCTTTTGTGCGACATCTTCACCATCTCTTGAGAAGTTGCTAACCTTTTTGACCTGAAGGGTGAATCCAACGAGCCTGCCCTGACGGACCGCGAGGCCATGGAAACGGAGCTGATCCGCGCCCTCATCTCGTCCTACTTCAACATCGTCCGCGAGTCCATCGCCGACCAGGTCCCCAAGGCGGTCATGCACCTCCTGGTCAACCACTGCAAGGACGTCGTGCAGAACCGTCTGGTGACGGAGCTCTACAAGGAGAGCCTTTTCGAGGAGCTCCTGTACGAGGACGACAATGTCAAGAAGGATCGTGAGAAGAGTGAGAAACTCCTCGAGACGTACAAGGAAGCGGCCAAGATTATCGGCGAAGTCGTGTAGACTTGCTCTCCCCCCCCCTCTCTCTCTCTCCCTCCCTCTCTCTCTCCTTTCCCCGCTTCCCACCTTAGATTATTATCTATTCCATGTGATGACTGGTTGCAAAGCATGTCACAATCATCTCTTGAGACGGAAGAATCACCTACTAGTCTTATTCGAAGATGGGAAAANGTCATGTTGAATTGAGTCTCACCTCTCTTTCTTCTTTCTTTTTCTTCTTCTTCTTCCCTTTTTTTTGCGCACACCCCCCCCCCCCCCCCCCCCCCCGCAGGGGATATGACGGATCTATTTATTTTCTATCCATGCCTGCTAGGGGCGGACTCTTCCCATCAACACCCCCCCTACCCCCCCCCCCCCCCCCCCCCCCCCCCCCAACACACACACACACATACTTAAAACACTGCTGTATTCCTTCTTCCTTGTTCCCCCCACCAAAAAAAAATTCCACCTTGTGAAATATATTTCGTTTCCTGTCTTTATAGCATGAATCTTGTTTTGCTTTCCCGGGAGACGAGCCGGTTAAGATGAACAAGGTAGTGTATATTTTGTATGTGTTGATTTAGAACGAGATGAAGAAGAAGAAGAGACTGGGGTCAAAGAACAAACAATAAGTAGTATACATTGTCAAATTGAGTAGTTTACGAGTGTCAAAGAGTTATTCTTCATAACCATACTTCCAATACGGGCCAGAGGGGGGGGTTGGGTTTAGATGTAAACGAGAAGAAAAGGAGAGGGGGAACCGGCGAAATTTTTTTTCTTCTTCCCTTCCTCTTTTTGTTTTCGTCATTACTATCTGTAATTTTTTTCAGTTTCTTTTTGTTTCTCTTTCTTTCAGAATTTCCTTTATTCCTTGCTCTCTACCTCCCCGCTTTCTTGTATGTAATACAGTGAGTAATCCAGACAATATCAACTTGTACGCCACACCGTCTCGTAACATCCAAGCATGCACTCCGATTCCTCGTCTACGCTCTGGCCGTCTTCAATCGTGACATTCACTCCTGACCGTCTAAATCTATACTGCTGACTCCCGATTCCTTATCCTCATCCCTTCTGAGGCACTCCCATAGGCAACTACAGCCAACTTCAGCATGCCAACCAGTTCGATGGCATCGAGTGCATGACCATCCCTAACTAACTCTACGCTCGTCATCTTCAAATGGTTCAAAAGTTTTGAATGCAACGTCATTCCCTTTATTGATTTGTTCCAACTATGTGACCATCCCAACGTCAAATCCTTCTTGTCCATCGTCGTAACCCAGCCAGTACTACATGGTTATTCTTCTTTTTCTTCTTTTACTCCGCAAGAAAACCTCCTCCCACTAATCTACCCTCGCACGGGCAGGATTATACTCCTCCAGACCCTGCAGCACACCTCCCTGGTGCACAGAACGCTGGATATAATACATGCCACCGCCTCTTCTCTCCAGGTCACGTACCCCGCTGAGTTGGTAGTCTTGGTGGTGTCCTACACCCCCTAGGTACGGCTGACGATCGAGGTACATGCTGCCGTGGATGTTGTCGTCAAATGCCCAGGGCAGGGCATCAGCAACGGTATTGTAGGCTACCCTGTCGTAGGCGAGCAGACGCGGCAGCGTGGCCAGTACGTGCATCTCCGGTAGCAATATCATCTGGGTGCGCCAGTCGAGCGGCGGAGCATTCGTGTTTTCGACGTGCGCGTCACGGAAGTGAATGGCAAGTTGTATGGCCGAGCACGGCCTTGGCTGCAGATTGACGAGCACGTCCTCGGCGCAGGGCTTGCATGCTAGGCCTTGGATGCTGCTCCCGATGGGCTTCATCTCCGCACAGCTCAGTAGCCCGTGGATAAACATCTGTAGCGGCGCCGACTCCGAGTATTCAATCTGAAATCCCTTGGCTATGTGGTGGACTGTGACGCACAGCGTGACGGCCTTGTCGATCCCCTCTACGCGAGAGATGACATTCCACGTCTGGCCGGCTATTCTAGCCATGAATTTGAGCCGGGCGTTATAAGCGCTCTCTGGCATCGGAGCTGGGCCCCACGCACTCGGACCTACAGGTTCGCGTTGGACTTGGACTGCCATACTATGCGGAGAAAGCTGGTTGGTATTTCTATTCCCGGATGCCGGCACTGAAGCTTGGTGGTACCCGCTTCCTCCATCGCCGGTATAAGTGGGATAGTATGTCTGCGGATGCGTTGATCGCGTATATGGCCATCGTCGGTCGGCGCCAGCAGCCGTAGTACCAGGTGCACAGGTAGCTTCTGGGAGTGATGTAGAGGAAGTTGCAGGAGGGAGTTCTGTGTGCGAGACAGGCCCTGGAGATATTATAGGTGGTGCAGGGGTTTTACTCAAGGAAGCAGGTTTACCACCACGTTTCGGCCCTGCGGGAGGCTTCTGACTGACCGGCGAGGACTTCTTCTTCTTCTTCTTCTTCTTCTCCTGTTGGCTTTGGGGCTTCTCTTCTCCGGAAGAGCCTCGTGTCTGAGGACCCTCAGAAATAGGTTTGAAGGGGGGTACTAGGGGCCATTCCGCTCTCCAGTTAACAACGATATGTCCAAGACTAAGGGCGTTGGTGTGCTTTGCTGCATAATGCTGAATGATGGCCTGGAAACCGTAGTACTTTGGAGTAGGGGGGCTGCAGCCGTTGCAGAGAAACATGGCGGGGCCATGCCTTACGACGTGGGGCTTGATCTTGACATCATATATCCACTTCATGTTCTCGAGCGTAAGCTTCTGAGTCCATGGTTTCCCCAGACGATCGACGGCAGGCTGTCGTCCGGCTGCGATGGCCTCCTGCCTTTCCCTCTCCACGTCAGCGTAGAACTGCTGTCGAACGTGAAGAAGGACACTGGACGAGAACAGCGGAGATAGGCTCTTGGTTACCCGCTGGCCTTCGTTCCATCCATGCTTGATGACTTCGTCAGCATAGGCTGATATCCGGGCCCTCAGGGGTCCCTGGGCACCGTCCCATTCCTCGTCAGAATTATTTTTCTTGGAAGCAGTGTTCCCCGGGCCTAGAGCACTGCTTCCCCTGGGTTTCGGGGTTGACTGTCCCGCTGGTTTCTGACCATGTTCAACGTCCTTTGCAGGGCTAGCTTTATCAACGTCGAAATGAAGCAGTGTCCTGCGCAGTTCGCCAGAGGCTTCCCATCTCTCCCAACGGGAGGCGTCTGCACGCGCCCTTTCACCAAGAATCGCAACACCCTTGAGCCACTCCTCGGCAACAGCGGGGCCAAGGCTCTGGGCCGAGTCAAAATCAGCATTGATGGCCTTGACTTGATCGTGCCAGTACAGCTTCATGAGCTGTCGTCTCGTTGGCTCACGGTCGCCCTGGATGGCCTGAGGTGAGACGACTTGCAGATCAGGAGTCAGGAAGACGGCAGGGAGGCCTGGTAGCAGGATCGAAGGGATCGCGGATGAAAGCAAAAGGTCGGCTTCCTACAATTAAAAAAAAAGAAAATAATACGATGAGAAACCTGAATAAGCCCATGGTCTCGTTTGGATTGGCCCTGTCTGGTCTGGTCGGTCTTCGAGCCGTGGATCACGTACCTTGAGTCCCTTCTTCATGAGGCACAGGCCACACGAGACAATGCCAAATGTGAAGATGGTAGACACACCCCGTGCACCAGGGCCGCGGTGCCAAGGATCTTTGATCGATCGGAGTTTGGTATTTTCATCGCGTAGGCTGCAGAATTGGCATACAGTACCACACACCATCCGCCACATGTCCAGCTCGGACCTGCCTCTCATGGGAGCTGGCATACGCGGCCAAAAGAGTCGCCTAGAAGCCTGCCATATCATATCAGGTGTGTACCTGGGAGACTTTGAAAAGATTCCTGTTGCTGCCGCGGCCACTGTCGATTCTCGGACAGGCAGAGACGAGCTGTTAGGGTTGAGGTAGCTGTTGAACAGCCTATTGACCCGCAACAGTCTCCCCAAGGAGCGAGGAGGCAGTAGGGCAAAAATACAATGCCACATCTCCGCTGGGAGCTGTCTCGACAAGTCCTGGCTGGCGCTGGACACAGGATGCTCCGACACTACCGGTGATGCTTTGGCTCTCTTGGTAGTCCTCTCCCCTTCTCCACCATCAGCCAACGATGGATTCGCTGCTGTTGCCACCGGCGACGACTTGCGTTTCCCCAACGACGATTGATGAAGACGATGACAATCGGCATCCCCGTCACGGTTAGCAACCGCAGGAGCAGCATGACTATCATCAATAACCAGGGGTACAGCAGGATCGTACGACGACTCGGAGCTCACGGGACTAGCGGGGCCATCCTTGTGGCCGTCCTGGTCGTTGTTGTTAACCTCATCTGGCTCCGTAGACAAGAGACCGCCTGTGACGAACTGGCCCGTACCGCGCGAGGTGGTAGCAGGAGCAGAAGCGTCGTCATGTACAGCCTGTATCGATTCCACAGGCCTAATACCACTCCCAGGGTGAGGGGCAGGATGGGAACAATGTTCCATGATTTCGACGGGAAGAAGAGAAAACGAAACCCTTGGTGAACATATATATATGTAGATGTATATATATAAACATATATATATATATATATATATACGATGGTGGGGAGAGGTGAGAGAGACAAACAGAGAAATAAAGAATAAAGGAGCTCCCGAGCAACGACTTCTCGAGAGAGATCTTTCCACAGTAGCTATTGCCACTACTAACACACAAAACTACACGAAGGTAGCAGTGATAGTACCAGAAGGAGATGGAAGCTGAAGACGACGTCCTTGATAAACACCAATCGACACAGATGAAATCATCATATCCTGATTAGTTTTCAGAACAGATAAGGGGAGATTAGAATGAAAAGAAAGGAAAGAGAGGAGGTTGGAGGGGGGGAGAGAAAAAGAAGAACTTTTGGATTATCAAAACAGGAAATTTCATCATCTACGCGACAAGGAAGGAGCGATTGCGAGTACGCGCACCTGCCTGCCCTGCAGAGAATTACGTCAAGAAGCGATGACTAATCAATTTTAGCTTACTATAGCACTCACTCCCTCTACTCATTTAATCCTTCTTTCCTTCCCTTAATATACAGTGAACACGTGACACATGTTATAAATCTATTCTAACAGAAGCACAGCGCACAAAATTGCAATTAAACAGAGCAGTGAAAATGACGGTGCTTAACCCTTTTTATTTTTGATAGTCTATGTTGCGCATAATAGAAAAAGAGATTTGGGGGGGAAACAACTACCACGGGAGTCACTACTACTGCACAGAGTATGGTAGTAGCGCGATGCATGGATAGAGTACGACAAAGGAAAAGAGGACAGACAGTCATATCTGACCAAGGTGTGGAGTTTGACAGAAAGCAAGAACAGAGCAACACAACAGCAACATGGGGGGAAATTTTAAAACAAAAAAAGGGAGACTGAGATGTGTGACGTGTAAACGTCCTATCAAACTGTCCGAGAATATAAACACGACCGAAGATAAAAAATGCGGCGGAAAAAACAGGCAAGGGGGCGCAATGCACTCTCAGTCGAACCTTGAGGGATGGGTGGGAACGGAGAGCACGTCTAACAGGTGTGCGCGCAGGACCACGGTGACTCGGGTCAACTCAAACTCTCCTCCATTATGCCTTGCGCTTGCCCTTGGGCATACGGACAAGCCAGTACAAGACGAGCGATGCGGCGATGTTGAAGATGATGTAGACCATGCCGATGCCGAAGTCGCGCCACCTGTTGTCAAAGTTGGCGCTGATGCCGGCCAGGAACGTGTTCGTCTTAGCCAGGGGGCAGTACTGGCAGGCCGTGGTGGCGCTGCCGTTCTCCAGATATCCGCCGGCGCCCGCGACGAAGCCGGGGTCGGTCAGGAATTCGTCGCAGGTCATGTTCGCCGGGGGGTTGACCGTGACGAGCTCATTGCTCTCGCAGGTGACATCCACGTTGGCCAGACCAGTCGACAGGATGGACGAGAGGAGGTAGGTGAAGGGCGACACGCGGTACATGAAGATCCAGAAACCGGGCATCTGATCGGGGGAGGCGAGGACACCGCAGAAGAGGAGGCACATCATGAACATGACGTTGGCCAGGTTACCACCTGCCTCGGCCGACTCGGTGATGGCGATGCAGGCGTGAGCAAAGGTGCAGGTGAAGACGAGGAACTGCCAGAGGAGAAGCCACATGAGCGCGCCACGATCCGCGGACTGACCGGCCTGCGAGGCATTGTTGTTGAGACCGACGGGGTAGTAGACGCAGATGAACATGAAGATGGACATGAGCGAATTCCAGGGGATCTCGACCAGGACCTGCGAGAGCATGAAGACCTTCCAGCTGTACGTCTTGGACGGCCTCTCGCGGACCTCGTAGAGCGACCGCTGGGTGACGAAGTGGGGCATCTGCTGCTGCACGAGCTGACCGAAGACGGTGAGAATGTTGAAGATGGCAAACATCTGGTTCTGCAGGCCCTGGATACTGAGCGGGGCGTCGAGGAAGACGAGACCGATGAAGAGAGCGACACCAGTGCAGAGGATGAACTTGGAGTAGATGTAGCTGGGCGTGCGCCAGTACTGCTCAAACACGCGGCGGGTGACGATGTTCATCTGGGACCAGAAGGGCGCGGCGAACTCGCGGAACGACTCAGACTTCTCCTCGCCCGAGAGCGCACCCCTGGCTTCGCCTTCGGACTTGAGACGCTGAAGCTCGGTCTGGACGGCGGCGTATTCGGGGCTGTCGCGCCAGGCCTGGTGCCAATCCACATCAGTAGATGATCCGGGGGCGGCGCCGATGGCCTCGAGCATCCACTCGGCCGGGTTCTCGCCGTCGTTGCAGGGCCGGGCTCCGTGACCTTGGAAGTACGAGGTGAGGGTCTTGGAGTGCTCTCCGATGTCGCCGAAGTAGACGGTGCGTCCACCCTTGGCGAGGAACAGGAGGCGGTCGAAACGCTGGAAGAGCATGGCAGACGGTTGGTGGATGGTGCAGAGGATAGACTGGCCGGCCTTGGAGAGCTTCTCGAGGAGGTCGAGGATGGCCCACGAGGTTTGCGAGTCGAGACCAGAGGTAGGCTCGTCAACGAACAGAAGAAGGGGGGGCTTAGCCGCCAGCTCCACACCGATGGTAAGACGCTTGCGCTGCTCAACGTTGAGTCCCTCGCCGAGGACGCCGACGACGGCGTCGGCGTAATCCTGCATGTCAAGAAGCCTGATGACCTCGTCCACGTAGGCGAGCTTCTCAGCCTTGGGAGTCGAAGCGGGCTGACGGAGGAGAGCGCTGAAGGAGAGGGCTTCGCGGACGGTGCTGGTTTCCAGGTGGAGGTCCTGCTGCTGGACGTAGCCGGTCTTGCGTTGGAAGGAGTCGTCGCGGATCTTGCCATCGACCAGCATCTCGCCAGTGATGACACCCATGCTGACACGATCAGCCAAGCAGTCGAGAAGAGTAGTCTTTCCAGCACCGGACACACCCATGAGCGCCGTCAAGGTTCCCGGCTTGACCCAACCGTCAACGTGGTCGAGGATACGCCTCGGCTCGCCCTTGATGGTGATGTCGTAGCAGACGTTGTTCCAGTGGAAGACGCTGGTGGAACCCTGAATGTTGGCGGCATCGTTGTCCACGGTTCCCTTCTCGGTGAGCGGGACCGGACCGGAGTTGGAAGCCTCGGCATCGGCCTTTCCCTTGACGATGGGAGGAAGGTGACCACGACGGAAGACGAGGATCTCGCCCTTGGACTTCTTGGCCGAGATCAGCTCAGTAGCGGCCAGGTAGAGGACGTGGAGGGCAATGGCAAAGGCGATGAGGATTCCCACGTTGCGCCACTTGTGCGACCTGGTGTACTTGTAGAGGACCTCGATATACCTCGTGCCAGAGACGGTGGTGGAGCCGGGAAGAGAGCCGACGGCGGTGCAGGCCATGTTCGCAATGTCCGTGTCCTCGTAGCCGGGGAAGAGGGGGCTGGGGACGAAGGCGTCGCACTCGAAGGTGCGGCCGTGGAACTCATTGATCATCAAGGCCTCGAACCCGTAGGCGACGGGGTCGAGGTAGTTGATCCAGCGGCACCAGCCAAGCATGTAGTCGACCGGAATGACAAAGCCGGTGAAAATGACCAGGGCGAGGATGAGGAAGGCGGCGGGGACCATGGCCTGCGAGAGACTGCGGGACAGAGCGGCGATGGAGCGGAAGAGGCCGGACATGGACAGCGTCATGAGGAAGGAGACCAGGAGGAAGAAGAAGAACGCGCCGGGCTCACGCCTGAGATGGGTCATGAAGTAGAGCGTCAGATTGTAGAACAGGGCGTTCGTGATCTTGTAGGGCATATCAACGATGATGGAGGAGAAGGCCTCGGCAGACGAGTGGTAGAAGCCGTAGCGGGTTTGCTTCTCGACAATCGGCCTCTGGGCGTACTGCGTCAGGATTTCGAGGGCGCTGGAGAAGGCGTTGGCGAGGATGGCGACGAAGATGACGGCGGACCGGTTGTAGAAGGCCGAGGTGGAGGGCTGGAGATCATAGAAGAGGGACGAGATGATGAGGGCGGTGGAGCTGTTGGCGATGAGGGCAAACAGGGTGACGCCGGGATCGCCGAACAGACGCTTCCAGCCACGCCAGAGACAGAGCTGACACTGCTGGGCGAAGGAGAGCGTGAAGGGGGACTTGAGACGCTGAGACTTGGCCTGGGCAGCCCTCTTGTGGGCGCGGAACTCCTCGGCAGCCTTGACGCCGTCGCCGGAGAACTCGGCCTTGTAGGCGGCGATCTCGGCCTTGAGGTTCTGGTACTCGGTGCTGGCCTTCCAGCAGGCGGCAAACTCATCAGGGGTGCGGGGCACGCGGCTCTCCCAGCCCGGGCGGATGACGCGCTCGGTAGGGGCGGTCATGGAGGTGAGGAAGTCGGGAGTGGTCTGGCGGGAGGGGCACTCGAAGCCGAGGCCGATGAAGTAGTCCTTGGCGTCGGTGGCACGTCCGAAGTAGATCTGCCTGCCCTCGTAGATGACGGTGACCTTGTCGAACAGGTCGTAGGCGCTCTGGGGGGACTGGTAGATGGAGACTCCGCAGGTCTGCTCGAACAGGTCGGACTGGAGGCGCAGCGTCTTGCAGAACTCGACGGCGTTGGCGGAGTCGAGACCACGAGTGGAGTTGTCCCAGAACTGGAGGGGCGCGCTGGAGAGGGTGGCCTCGGAGATGGTGACACGCTTCCTCTCACCACCGGAGACACCGCGGATGTACTCGTTACCGACGCGGGTGTTGACGGTGTGGCTGATGCCGTACATGGCCATGACGACGTCGCGGAGGTGGTCGCAGAACTGGTTGCGGGTGAGGCCGGCCGGGATGTTGCGAGGGCACCTGGCGCGGGAGGCGAAGGTGAGGGTGTCGCCGACGGAGAGCATGGGGAAGTGGACGTCGACCTCGGCGGTGTAGATGGCCTCGCCGCGGTGGTGGGTGTGCATCTCCTGGGGGGTGATGCCCTCGTAGTTGAGGTACGACTTTTCGTCGACGTAGATGCCGTTGGTCTCACCGGACAGCGTCTTGAGGAAGGTGGTGCAGCCGGCACCGGGGGGGCCGAGGGCGACGAGCATCTCGCCCGGGCGGACGAGACCGTCGAAGTCGCGGAGGATGTCGATGCGGCGCTGGCCGCTGTTGCCGTTGCCGCCGATGGCGGTGCGCAGCAGGGACGGGATGGACAGCCAGACGTTGCCGACGTCCTTCTGGAAGTCGGACTCGGCACCGTAGCCGAAGACGTTGAGGTCCTCGAAGCAGAAGCCGCTGCGGCGGAAGCCACCTCCACCCTCGCGGGTCATCTTGGCGAGAGCCTTGGCCCAGGCGCGGGCGTTGAACTTGGGGCTGGAAGGGTTGAGACTGGTGTCGGCGTCGGAGAAGAGGCCGGAGAGGTCGACGTCGCCGGTCTGCTGACGGGACATCTGGGTGGCGAGCTGCTGGACGATGGAGTGCCTGCGGTTCATCTCGGCACGGTCGTCATCATCGCTGGCCTCGGAGGAGGTGTCGATGTTGTCGCCGGCGTCGGCACCCTTGGAGTCGAGGGCATGCTGGACACCGTCGGTCGTCTTGTTGGTGAAGGTGTTTGTGCTCGTAGACGACGAGTGTAGCGTGCGGGTAGGCTCAGGGCCTCCCTCTGGCTCGCCGGACATGGTTGGCTAGTCTGTCGGGGTAGCACAGCAGACGTTGGGTGGATGTCCTGGAATTAGGAGAGAGATGTTAGCAGGCTGTCTCCGCGTGTGCGTGTGCGTCGCACAGACGACGCTGCGAAGGGCCCGGCGCGGACGATGCGGTCACATACAGATTAAGAGGGTTGCTCGGGTAGTAGCGAAGAAGCAGATGCGGCGAAAAGCGAGATGCAAAGACGAAGCGAATATATCGGCACCGCGAGTCGAAGAGAGTGAAAGGGTCGAGGTTGAGGCGCTCGATGAGACGAGGGATAAATGAGAGTAGACGGTGAGTGATTAGTTGAATTATATAAAGAATATAAAAAAGATTAATGAAAAGAAAACTGGAAGCAAGAATACTTGAAGAGACTTGAAGCACCTGGAAATGAGGAAAGTATCAGTCAAAAGGAACCAAAAAGGAGTCTTGGTATATATTGACGGAATCTTTCCAGTTCCAGAGGACTAGAAGTAAGGACAAGTAGCACTATCGAAGGAGGAAGAGAAAAAAAGGACCCAAGACGCTTCTTTATGAAGACAGACAAAAGAAACAAACGTGATAGGCACGGGATACTTGTCCCACCCGTCAGTCCGCGACCGAAAACCCCGGTCGGGGAGTTATCCATGTCCGATGGTGACAATGGCATACGAGTAAGTGTGTGTGTGCGTGTGTGTGTGTGTGTGTGTATACGAGTATGTGTGTATGTGTGTGTGTGTGTGTGTGTGTGTGTGTGTGTGTGTGTACCCCCAGCTCGGGCCCCTGCGAGGGAGGGTCGACCTCTGAGCACGACTACGATAGGAGAGTATCCGCACTCCCTCTTACTCATAATAATAACGATGCTGCTGCTAGTTGATTCTACTAGGGCTGCTAGTACCGCTACGGCTACTAGCGCTGCTACGGCTACCACCACCGTCCGTACTAGCTACTCATGAGCAGGAGATGGGAGTGAGAGAGCGGAGCGTCCCTGGGGGGGTGAGGAGGGGGAGGGGGTGGAGGGGTGTGTACCTCTCTCCCCTATATCATCATACTCCTACCTGGCCCTACGAGCTGTACGCGCGTTGGTGAGGCGTAGAAGAAGAAGAAGATTAAGCTCAAAGGTGAGGAACATGCCGTGTACGTATACGACGGTACAGTATAATCTGCACAGATAGCGCATTATCAATTGGCATGGAACCAGAAAAGAAAAGGGGGCGCATGGCGAAAAAGAAAAAAGAAAAAAAAGAAGAAAAGAAAAAGAATGGGTCCAAAAGAGACTCCAGGCCATGTACTATGCATGTCTGTACTCCATACTAATCTCAGGACTAGGGGTCCATGATCTCTTCTCTCTCTCGGGCCCGAGACCGTCTCCGCTCCTCCCTCCTAGACGCCAGGTGTACGTATCCCGTCCACGCCGGGGGCGTACGTGTAGATCGGTATCGCTACCCGCTACGCAGCAATACGATACATGATAATCCGTACATACGAGGCTATACCATCGCCCATACACATATACCATTCGGCAGAACCGCCTGCAGTAGAAAACCTGCGTACCGTGGTGGTCTCAGTCCCAGTCCCAGACGTCGATGTACGAGCAGATCGACACCCCCCCCTCCTTTCATCCCTGGAAACCGTCAAAGGTCAATGCTATCACTCTCACTTAACTCTGCGATACGGTCTACGGGTATTACGTCTCTCGAGTACACGTACTAGGCACGAGAGCATCCTACCCTCCCTCGTACGAGTATCCTACCGCCAGAAGAGGTCGCGTGCATATCTGGTAGCAGCAGGTAGCAGCAGCAGCAGCAGCAGTAGTAACAGTGGTGGTGGTGGTGGTGGTGGTAGTGGTAACAGTAGTGGCGGCAATAGCAATAGCAGCAAGTATTAGTACCGCTCGTACGCTGCCTGTCGTCCACAGGATACAGTACACAGCTCCTCCTCTGCACTCACACAGACAGAGACAGACACACAAAACGCACACGCACACGCACACGCACGCGCACACAAGACCAACCCCCCCCCCCCCCCCCCCCCCCCTCTTTCCAAACATCAACACTTCTTCAGACGTGCCCAGACCTCGTTCCCATCCGAATCCGAAGCCGGAAACCTCTACTCTTCCGTCTGAGATAGAGAGAGAGAGAGAGAGAGAGAGAGGGACATCTCTGTTCTCCCTCCTCCTGCTCCTGCTTCCTTCAATATGCCAGCCGTCAGCTCCCCCAGGAAGCTGGCCTGCGTATACTGCCAGAGTCGAAAGAAGAAGTGTGACAGGAAGTCACCGTGTTCCCTATGTTTCGAGGTCAGTCGGAAAGAAAGAGGGAGAGAGAGGAGTCTCTCTCAACCAACAGCAACAACAACAACCCCTCCCTGCTGCTTTACTACTTCAACATCATGTTGCTGACACAGAGCTTGACAACAGAAAGGTCTGATCTGCACACCGAGCACGCCTGCTCCTACGAGGAAGCGTCGACAGCCGACTAAGGAGCTGCTCGAGAGGATGACTCGGTGCGAGGAGCTCCTGAGGTTATGTCTGGAGCAGAACGCCCTCTGCCACACGGCCGGCTTGAGATCGTCCCCTTCTACTTCCTCTTCTTCGCCGCCGCCCAAGTCTCGCGGGACACCTTCGGTCGAGGGCGATCAGGTCCTGCCCTCGACCGAGAATGATGATGCCATGGCAGCCGCGAACGATATGTCGTTGCGACCGAGGTCATAGTCGGCTATTCGTCTCCTTCTTTCTCTTCTTTCTCCTCTTTCTCTTCCCTTCTCCTTTCTTTCTCTTCTTTCTCTTCCCTTCTCCCTTCTTTCCCCGTGTCCTTTCTACTCGGTGTCATCTGGCGTTTTACGGGATTATACTCTGGTAACCAATTGTCGGGGTTAACCTTTTGTTATCTATCGGTTTATTCTTATTTTATTTCCTCAGGAAAGCTCTCTGCTCTCACTATTGCCCGCCGGATTTGGATTGGCTTTCACTATTTTCTTTCCTTGGTCATTCTCCACAAACAAGAACCACAACGACCACGACACACACACACACACACACACACACACACACGCACACAAAAAAAACCCCCCTCCACAGCATCTCAGGCATTCAAGGAGGCGGGGACCAGCCTGTTTATCGTTAACAAGCCGTCACTCTAAGAGCCCGGTAATTTCTTTTTTTTTTCTTCTTAGCGCAAGGACAAGGTCAATACTACCAATACCACGCGTGCGTTCATGACCATCTCTCTCCTACCGAAGTGACCAACAAGAAAGACGGAGAAACAACAGGAATGGGGGCGGTCCCAATGTAAAAAAAAAAAAAAAAATCGAAAAATCTGGCAAGTCAGTCCATACAGTGTAGCAGAGTTCACACTCGTAAGAGCAACACTCGTACCTCCGTACGCGACGAGGAGGAGGAGGAGGAGGAAGCCGGGGGGGGGGGGGGGGGGGGGGGGGGGGGGGGGGGGGGGGGGGGGGGGGGGGGGGGGGGGTGTGTGCGCGCACTTGAATTGACAAGAGTGACGAAGACGCTTTTAGGTTGCCGCTTCGGGTAATCAAATCTCTAGTGTTCCCCGCTTCTTCGACCCCCACATGATGCACCTCAGGACTCTCGTCAATCCGAAACACCGAAACACCGAATCGGCCAAGGGCGGGGACTGGCTAGTATCTGCTCCATAAATTCCCCGTCGTCTCTCGTCGCTGCATCCTCCTTGCCATGATTATTTTCGTCTTTTTTTGGGGGGGACGGAGGGAGGGGTCGTCGTCGTCCTCGCCGTTGTTGTTGTTGTTGTTCATGATTCTCTCCCCCTCCATCTGATTCTCTCATGCCCCTGACTAGAAATCCATGGAAATAGATCGAGAGAAGGAAATAAAATATAATATATGTATGTATGTATATGTATATATATATATATATATATATATGTATAAATGATTGCTTATCATATACGACTTAGAACATCTTC